TAGAAAAAGTTAGCGATTCACATCAGCATAAATAAATAAAATTTAATATATATAACAATCAATCCTTCATATAAAACCACTGTTTATTTTGTTATATATCTTCTTTTAATTAGATTTAATTAGATTTCTCCTGTATTGTTTGTCGTCTTTTCCACGCAAGAATTTGATATAATATTATTTATTTTTTTGGATTGAAGTTTGGATTGAAATAATATTATTAGGTACACGCTGATGCTACTCGCTATCTAAAAACAAAATTAAGAAAAAAAATAATGCACATCCTGTTAATTTCAATTAGAATTGTTAACAAAAGCGTACGATATATTACTCACCGCAGCGAACAGCTTCGCATCTATAGTAAAAGCTTTTGCAGAAAATGTATTATATTATCGCAATGAAATAGTTGTAAAGAAAATGTTTGTAACTGCAATCACAAAATCGTCAAATATAAGATTAAAAAATATAATTACGAAAATATAAATACAATTTGATTTAATAAAAATTGGATACACGAAATACTCTGATACATTTAAAAAAATATATAAAAATTCTATATTTCAATATACTACCTCATTTTTTACTTTCTCATCGGTGGTAACATTAAATACGTCATAAATAGAAGTGATGATCTGTTGAGCTTGATGTTTACCAGATCGGAGATCCATACAATCAATAGTACTTTTATAATAAATTATGCAATATATAGTGAAAAATTCATATGAAATAATACTATCTCAAAAAAATTTATGTTCACTAAAATATATTTCGATGCTAGTATGTAGTATAAACAGATGGTGGTATTAAAGAAGGTCAAGATTATTATAGCAAGAAGCTGTAAACTGAAAATTATGTTCAACATCTGTACTGTATCATTGATCGTCAAATGTTGTATTTTTAAAGCCTTGAGTTCCATGATCAGAAATAGATTTCTATAGTTCAATTTATGGACCTTTAACTCATTATTTGCAATTTTCTCATGCTCATCAGATTATCGTTTGATTCTTGTAAAACTTTTGCTTTTAATACACAAATACAATTCATGTACAGCATATCCATCTGAAATATCGCTACAATGATGTATATTTCAAACAAGCGATTTATTGGCAATATGAGTATAAACTTTAATGATCCAAACTGAATAAAGGAAACCGATGATATCTTTAGCGTGGATTAGTTCAGATAACTTCTCATATGATTCCGAGGGCAATTTTAAAGAGATCTTCATTATAGTCTGAAGCAAATGCATTTGTGCCATTAGAATGGATGATTATTATGAAATTGCCAAGGCGCAGTTATGCACAAGAATCCGGGGTAGAATTAACATATCAACTTTTTCGAAAATGGAAGAATTGTACAGCATTATCAATGAACAAAGGCTATAAAATGACAATGATAATCAACAGAATGAAGTGTGGTTTTGAAATTTCAAAACTCGTATCATTGATTTTATAATAAAAAATATTCCAAAAATATGACACAAAGTGAAGCAAAGATACATCGGGGATTGAAAGTCCTTGGCGTTGAATAATCGCCATTTTGCTTTTTTTTCTTTGCCTCTGGATTCTCTTTGGAAACTTGAGAAATTGAACATAATTAGTTATTTGTCACAAGCAAACAATATATTATAAACAAGTTATAAATTAATATTTACATTATTAATACATTTTAATGTAAATGTGACAACAAAACTTCTTTTCAATAAGTATAATCTTTTCGCTACTTTTGTTTTTCTGAGTATGTAAATTGATGTAACTCTCGTCGTCAATGTTCATTTGACGAATTTAATTTCAAAAACTGCGAATATAATTGCTAATTCGTGAGCATAGATCTCCCCTCTTTATGGCGTGGAATCTACGTAATCTCATCACGTGATCTCGCGGGCTCTTTTCACTACATGCAACTGGTGGATGAGATTCCGAAAGATCACATGATGGGGTCACGTGAGATTCCACGTCAGAAAGAGGAAAGATACATGTCTCACCAATTTATGCTTTTTATCTTGTAATGACACAAAATTAAAAAGATACATTGTTTGGTATGATGTAACCATGACATTTTTCGATTGGCAATTGTTATTTTTTTATAAAATATTAATATATAAATTATATAACTCGTACGACATACGAGTCGCAAATAATAAGTGCACACATTAAGCAAATGACATTGTCATATGAATCGCTTTCAAAAATGCTTTTATAACAATTACCCGTTTGCTAATGACTGTCTATTTTTAAAGTCCGTGTTCACATTCCATATATAAGATATTTTATCATTTCACACAATAAAATAATATATACATATATTAAAAAAGAATGGAAAATATCATTTGTAAAAATTTTAATAACGAAAAAAAATTTATACAATTTAATTAATAGTCACATTAGTTGTTTGTGTTAATAATATAATATCAATCATTGTAGAATGATATTATTCAGAACAGCTTAAGATGGAGCTGTAGCTCCCTTAGTTTTTCCTCTCCCCCTTAATCTAGACTTGACAATATATGAGGGCTGTGTTCCAAATTTATTGTCAGCAGCATTGAAAATGCTACAGTTTACGTTACATGCATTATAAATTTTTAATACTGGCAGTTAATTTTGGAACACAACCCATATTAGTTTTATAATATGTT